GTTTCTTCTGATTGAAATGATTGAACATGCCTGCACTAAACAAGCCGACAGCACTCAAGTGCACACACAGGTTTCTCACACACAAGCTCACACAACAGCACAGTGTAGATTAACACTGCATTAGACTTGGTTCATTCCTTGTTTAACAGCATCAACCTTTCTCCAAAACTGTCAAATATTTTGTCTTGTGCATTATTTGATTACAAATACAGTAAAAAATAATAATATCGTGAAATATTATTACAGTTTAAAATGACTGTTTTCTATTTTAATATATTTTAAAATGTCATTTATTCCTATGATGGCAACGCTGAATTTTCAGCAGCCATTACTCCAGTCTTCAGTGTCACATGATCCTTCAAAAATCATTCTAATATGCTGATTTGCTGCTCAAGAAACATTTATAATTATCAGTATTGAAAACAAATTGTGCTGTTTAAGTGAACATGAAATTAAAATTATTATTTTATGCAGTGTTCCATATAAATACTTTAATATTTTTGTGGAAACCGTGATTTTAAAGATTTTAGATGAACAGAAATATAATTTGAAATAGAATTATTTTGTATCATTATGAATGCCTTTCCTGTCAAGTTTGATCATCAATGTGTATTTGCTGAAAAAAAAAAAAAACATATTAATTACTTTCAAAAAACAAAATCTTACTGACCCCAAACTTTAAATTCTTTATGCTTTATGTATTTGTTGACAAGATTAACAGTCAAAGCGATTCTGTATAGTCAAACCGATTCTGTTTAAGACAGACTGACCGGAAACACTCTGTGTGAGTTGCGTGTAACTCTCAGGTTAGGTAGGTGCCTTAACAAGGATCCGTTTTTCATTTCTTCTTCCTCTTTGTATCTGGTTGAGGCAGTGTTCTCAGTGCCCTTAAAACACAGCAGTGTGGAGCCGTGTGGGATATGAATCACAGCTCAAATGCACCATCAGGCACTTTCACATGTTTACAATGCACCAGACCTGACCACTCATGAGAAACTACCCACACACTCCATTCAGCAGTGAATGCCATCTGACTCGGCAATGGACAGAATTGTGGATGTACTAGTGACTGAGCAGATGAGAAATCAGAGAGGAAAATAAATGTTTCCTGGCCATTATGAATACAACAAGACAACATCTGAGGAATGAGGGCAGCTAACGTGACTAGGGATGTGATGAGGAATGGGATGCTTTCTCTATGGCCAGGCATCCCAAACACATTTCTATTAACAACTTGGCCATACTGAAAGCCCTTTCAGTGTGTTCAGATCTGCATTTTTCTGCTTCTACTGGTATCTGACTGACCACTGAAAATCCCATAACCAAGCACCAAGTCTTTCTGAGAAATCTATTTCATTACACCAGCCAGGCATACAGGAGGGTGTGGGAGTACTGCACGGAAATGTCTCCAAACCAGGATGCTTTCTGCTCTCTTTAGACAATGCAAAACAATATCTCTGTGGTTTACATAAATAGTGCACCAAGCAAGTTTGAGGACCTTGGCAAAAATCCTGAGATAAAATAACCACATGCACAGTTTAGCATCAGTCATCTTTGAGATTTCACAACAAAGTCACTAAATATAACGGGTCTAAGAAACACCTGTGCCAAGACATGGAGGCGATATTATGCCTAGAAAAATTGACTGCTGATGGAATAGCATAACTGCCAATAACCAAATCACGAATCAAAACTTTCTAAAAAAAATCTAATATGACTAAAGTCAACACGCAGATGACATAAGCCTCCTGTGAATTACAATTTCATGCTGCTCCCAGAAACCATCATCATACTTCTCGTTTTTTAGATAGAGAAGTTGTTGACAGATCTAAAAACGTGGTCAATTATGTAAAGAAAGGCCAACAAATGATTCCTCACTGAAATAAACAAGTTTACAACAAACATTTCTCTCACCAAGACTATGTTTCTACATTTTTTTGGAAGTGGGCATACATTGAGTCCCTTTCACTATTTTGCTTTATTATAAAAATTTCAGTAAATGTTTTTAAATTACCATTAAGTCAATAGATGCTGGAATAGATAGAGATATGAATAACATGACCACAACTGTTATCGCCCAATATTAGAGATTTAAATTAATTAACTATCAGATATTTAGCTGGCCAATACTGGATATTTAACTGTGGGCTATTATAATTCAAGACTAGTTCAATTTAGCATTAATTTTAATGGAATGCAATATCTTACGGCACAGATTTAACCTAAGAAGATTTTTAACTAGTGCCTGTGTGTGTGTGTGTTCGGGGCATAATAAAGGCACCGTTCACCCAAAAATGTATTTAGCCTAATGTCGTTCCAAACGTTCATCTGTGAAATATAAAATACATTTTGAGAAATGTCTTAGTGTTTTCAAAGCTGTCTGGTTACCAAGATTCTTCAATATATCCACAGAGAGCATAGTCATAAAGGTTTGGTACAAAATGAAGTGGAGTAAATTATCACTTGAAAGTCATGGATCACCCAAAAATTAATCTTCATTTTTGGATGAACCATGCCTTTCAGGCGTTTTTAAATATTTAAAAGGCTAATATCCGTAATTTATCGGTTTCAGCTATACCATGAAAAAAAAATATTACTATCTGTAAGAATTTTCATTAGGTGCATCCTTTTTTTAAAGTCATCAAAAATAAAAAAGACTCTGGAACCACTGACACATTCTAAAAATAATTTACTGTGGAATATCAGAGAAGGATGAATCACATTCTAGTATGTTTACAAGCACATGATGTTCAAGAATTGCCCATTTTCTCAGTTTTGCTAAGTACCAACAGCAGAGCGCCAAGAAAAATATGTTAAGAGCCCCTCTGACATTACTATATGTGTCAATGCACTCTCTCTCTCACGCACATTATCACACACACATACTATCAGGAGATTCACACTTCCTAACTCCTGACCCTGCTAGAAACACATCCTGCTTGACCTCAGCATCACCTCACAGCACGTCCCGGAAACAGTTTGTACACTGCCTCAGTCACATGACACAAAACTGCAGTCTGTTCAAAATGCAGAAAATCCATTAAAGCTGAAATGGTTTGTCAGTACATAGCACATCCAACAAACCAGGACATTTCGCTGAGGTAGGAGTAAATTGGCATCATGAAACTTCCTTAGAGCTTTCACTATACTAGAAGGCAAAAGAAGGTGTAGAGAACTAGAGATATGAGCAGAGTACCACTAAAATAGTTACTGCATCAAATAAACTCCAGCATATTACTGAAAGAGCACCGCTGATCTAATGTCACAGCTCTGGCATGTGTTGAGGAGATGCCATGGGAGGAGCTTCATACCCTCTATGAGGCTACATGAGGACAGCCGAACAGTTGGGGGATGAACCAGATCAGAAAAGCAGTCCGTCCTGTGCCAGCCACACAGCTGAGTGATTAGAAAACAAGAGCGCTCTAGGATTTGGCAGACTTCTAAGAGAAACAAGACCGGCTTTTCTGAGACTGAGCAAGAATACGGATCACAGTTTCCTAAATTACCCAAAACCCATTCAAATTTATTTTATATTTGCTCTTAATTATGTCTAATCAGAGCATTCCAGTGCTGATTTAGTCTAACACCAATGGGACTTTCAGAAACACCAGCTTTCTGTGTGTATCATGGTGACAAGCAAAGCTTAATGCTTTGGCTTATTTTGGGATCATTTTCATAGGCGGTTAAAGTCACAATGAAAAAGTAGCAACAAATCTTTTCTTCTGTATTGTGAGGTACATCCAAGTGAACCGGATTATCAAAAAATTTTAAATAGGACAAGGACTTGGTTCGATCCATTAATTGTTAATGCAGTGTTGCAGTTGATTATGGAATGGCAGGGTTTAAGTGGACTATGAGTGGAGAACCTCTGCAAGCATGACCAGAGAGAAGTTTGTCGTTTTCACAAAAAGACTGAGTTATGACATTTTAATGAAACCTCAGAAGTTAAAAAAATAATCAAAATGAAACACATGCACAGACGAATTGTTCACAATAAAATCATCTATAAAAAAAAGAGATACAATACATTTCATAACAACTTTAAGAAATATAAAATTTAGGCAGTTTTGTCTGAAACGTAAACTCAACACTAACGTCTCACTTAATAAACTGTTGTATAAAAGCAATACCAAACTCACAATTGTGCTGTTGGTCTGAATATCAACGTGACTGTAATGATCTGCAGCTGAATCACATCAGCACTCCTGTATTTACAGTTCCTTTCATTTTTATTCCTAAATTATGGAATTTTATGACTATTTTTGTTTTGTTTCATTTTATCTTTTCATTTTATCATTTTACACCAAATTACCATTTTCTGAAAATGTGCTAACTAAACCTACCTTTAGGGATGGTTAGGTGACATATTTCCCGACAAGTTATTATGTTGGGAAATAAGTGACCAGTATGCAAACCATTGAATTTAGAGATTTGCGGCAAACAACGCTGTCAAATACTGTATACATGGTTAAGCACTTGACATCTATCTATCACAGAAATGAACTTTTCGCACATATTTCGATCACTATGGGAAATGTCTAACATCAATCACATGTGAGCCATTAGTATACATAGAGATTACAAGAACAAAATTAGCTGCAAATCCTAGTGCAATTCGCATTTAAAGGAAATTATACAAACCACTAAGGGCCTTAAACTGTCAACTAACACACTGTAGCTGCCATTATCACAGCAGCATGACTGTCAACGAGAAGTGCATGACAACAACAACAGCTGCAAGAGTCGGTGTGTCAGCGAAGAATCATCGTGTTTTATAGCGCAAGAATAAATGAAATACGCCGCTTTGTAGCGTACTGAAATCTACATTCAGGTAACAATATGCCTAGAAACCCAAATGTGTTCCTAAAAGCTTAATTTGGCAACAAACTGGCTTAAAAACAAAAGGTGACAACATGACCCGAGACAAGCAGGCCAACAATCAGCTAACGCTCAGTTCGCTAAAGTGTCAACCAGCTCGAGCCAACGTACAACAGACTTACCGACTAATTTGACGGCTGGGTGTGAAGTACTGAATTCAGTCGCGACTGGTATGGGTGGGTTTTACAGTTAAGTTCTCGTTTCAGTCCTCCAAAGGTCCTAGCTGCGAATGAAAGAGATAAAAAGCCCTCCGTCGTGAGATTTTCTCCTCCCTTTAGCAACAGCCACAGCGCACAGCTGTCATCAAACGGGGACTCGCGCCACGCGCATGCGCAGTTCAAGCCTGCGCAGACCTTTTTTATTCCCAGAATATGTACACACATTTGTACAAACATTTAGAATTCGCAACAAATATGAATGCAAAAAAGTATACAAAAACAAAAAAAAACTTGAATGTGTTTTTGTTTTGAGCATGCGATTTGTTTTCTGCATTTACGATCACCGTTTTCTTTCACCATTATATTTATTTTTAATATTATATTTAAAATTTGAGGATTAATTACGTTAATTTCACTTGAACGCTTGAATTTGGCAGAATCATTGTAGATATTCAATTGTTTTGACCAGCAGATGTCGCTACCAGCATGTCATGATTGAAAAATCCTAAATATGCTCTCTTTTGTAGAATGCTGTTGAGAATGCTTTGTGGAAAAGTGAGTTGTATTCTCAGTTTTGGTTTGTAAAATCTTTTAGATATGACTCCCTTTCTGTTGATGTTACAATAATAATATTTTTGTGTTCCTAAATATTGCAGAGGGATCTACATGTTGGAAAAGATGTGCCTAAACATCTGGCACTTTTATACATAGAGATTGATGTTTTATTCTAGTTCTGTTGTTTTTAGATTCCTTGTGTGTTTTTGTTTGTTTTAAACCACATTCTTAAACCAGTTGTGTGGGGTCACAGAGACCCCTGTACTGTATGCGTAATTATAAGAACTGTTGAAATGAACTTGTGCAGTTGTACGGTGTTTTAATCTGATATGGGGATTTTCTAGGAAAACTGTTAATAGATATATTTAAATAGAAGCTTTGTAATTGAACTGTAATTGAATTTTTAAAAACCTACATGCATGCAATGAACACAATATAGGTTCTAGTGGAACTGTAAGCAAATGTATACAAATTAATTACAATACAAATGAAAGAAACTGTATCATTCATTTCTTTATTACGGACAATATAATTGCATATATAATAAATAACATCCTTATTTCATGTAAAAGTAAAAAAAAAAAGTGAATTGACACTTTTTATAAAATCACCTCTTTGATTAAACCTCTAAAATCATACACACATTAATTAAAATACAAAATAACATATTAGCAATTAAAAAATTTTTTAATGTGCAATAAATTGCACCACTGTACATTTGATTAACACAGTTGGACAACAAATTTAAATACATAGAATAGTATCCTTAAAAAGGTCTTTTTATTTAGTGATATTTATATTTATATATTTATTCAGTAACAAAAATCATTTTGTGCAATGTGATTGTAAAACTATAGCACCTAGGTGATAAAACTATAAACATATTTAGAAATGAATTTGTACTTCATCTTGTATATTTTGTCACTATGTCTTAGAAATCAGCATTATACACACAATTCACCTCCTCCTCTTTTTTTTTTCTCTGAGAGTCCTTTAGAAGGATTTTTTTCTTGGTGGTCTTCAATCGTTTCATGGACAAACAACACAAAATAGCACAGAAGAGAACCATTCTGCTCCTTAGCTCTCTTCGCAGCTGTTCATATTGAACAATTTTATCTTGCAATCTCTTTCGTTGATTCTGAAAGTTAAGAATAATGATGGTTTCTGCCCTAATGGACCTTTTAGTGTGTGTTTGGATCACAGACCTCACTAGCATGTTGGCTTACCAATGCGAGTCCTGCTTCGCAAAGCCTTCTTGCCTTTCTGTGCAGGAGGTAGAACAGGAGGCAAGGGCCCAGGAGGATGACTTACCGCCTGGTCTCTCCTCAGCAACATCTGAGCGCTGTTGCTGTTGGCGGTCTCAGTCACCCAGCCCCCCGGTGGCTCTGAATTGGAGCGGGGCCCCAGGGACAGAGGTAGGCAAGTTTTAGGGGTGATAGTGGTCATTGTGCGGTTGAGCACTCGTCTTCTAGATGTTCCCAGAGGAGGCATGCTGGGAGGTCTGTGCTTCTTGGTTTCCATGGATTCGACTGTGTGGTTTCTTGGAAGTGCCGAGGGAGCTGTGCGAGCCAGCGCTTGTATTCTCAGTAAGTTAGTTAGACGGGTCTCCAGGCCGCAGAGTGCTTGGTCTGTGTAGCTTTGCATCTCATGGCGAAGCTGAGCGAGCTCCTCTCTAAAATCCTTCTTTAATGACTCCAAGTTCAACAATATCTCTTCCAACAAGGTTACACATATCTCTTCTCCTCTTTCCTTACTATTTTCTCCGTTTTCTGTCATCCGCTCTTCTACAGTCTCTTTCTGGCCCGCCTGATCCACTGCGTTCTCCTCAGATGAGCTGATCTCAACTGTGAGTCCAGGTTCTTCTTGTTCTTTCTTGTTCTTCTCTAGTTCCTTGGTGAGTTGGTTTACAACATCCAGTATGCCCATGCGCTGACCATCCAAACCGGCCTGCGCTCTGATCTGACTCCTCACCAAAGAGAAGACTGAATGGACTCTAGCCTGCTTTTCTTTTTCTGTAACTGCTTCTGCTGTTTCAATCTTCTCCTCCATTTCTTCATGAACAGCATGCTCCGCAGCTTCAACCTGCATGTTTATTTCCTCCTTCTCTTTGTCATCTCTGCTTCTCCTCTTTAGCAACCACTTCTCCAGGATGGCTGGATTTTCTGCTGTCTGCTCATTCATGGTGTTTAGCTCTATTTGTTCTCTTTACTTTACTTGTCTCCTCTCCTCATGCTTGTTTTATAATCTTTTTACAGCTTGTCTCATGGTTTATTATCTCGTTGTTTCTTCATTCTCCTCTGATCTCTCTTATGACTTGTGTTGAGATTACATTGAGCTAAGAGAGACCAACAGCGCTGTATTTCCCTCAAGAACTGTAGCTGTCCAATCAGCGTTGGCTACAGACTGTCACTCACTGTTCTCTGGGGAAACATACATGTGCATCAACACCTTTCCCCAAACACTTACATATCTGCTCATTTAAATTTCAGCTGTTGCAATTGTACTGTATGTGTAAGGTGAAATACCCACTCTCAGTAGGCTTGGAGTTCTAAGAATACATAGTACATGTTTCACACTACAATGATTTACAGTAGCAGAAGCACTGTGACCATTTGCTACAGTTTTGAGAAGCAAAGCAAATGTTATCTATCTATCTATCTATCTATCTATCTATCTATCTATCTAATCTTAAATGAAACAATTGTTGTATTCCTGTGGCTTTGGATAAAAGTGTTTGCTAAATGAGTAAATGTAAATAATTATATATAAGTTACATCACACCTGATATAACTGTCCTGAGTATCAACATTGTTCTCAGCATCATCTCAAACACTGTTAATGAAGTCCCCAGTGGGTTAAAAGCATTTTGCAAACTATTCAAAATGGGGGAGTGGGGCTGCAACAGTAAACCTGATGTTTACTATTAAGATGCATTTTCTAGTTGGAAGGGGAGTGACAGGGAGGAGTTAAAATTTTAGGCGTCAGAATGACACTGCAGTTCTTTAGAATCATTTACATTAATTGTTACCATATTGAAATGAACTCAGGCGAATATCTATTAATTTAATTAAAATTAAGTTAAAATAACTAATTGCATCAATAATTATTTAATTGTTTAATGAAATAGTAGTGTACATTTAAATAGAAATACAAACTCATGTAAAAGGAAATATAGTTCTGGGTGGAATTATAGTAGAATTTATTATATTTATTATTACTAAAATTATAATTATTATTCATTTTTGTCAATTTAAGCATTAATAGATAGGTTTAACTTTCAGTTTGACTTAAAATTTACCCCAGATAGAAAAACGTGTGTCAAACTTCATGACTACAGAACTGAATGGTTTAGTCTTGCATACTGGCATGGAAAACTACATAAGCAACTCAACTGGCCAATAGGGTTGAAGGAACTGTGTGCCTCCTCTTTTTCTTGTAGACAAACTTCACAAAACATGAAAAAAGAAAATCACTCAAAAAACACAGCTTATCTTCTAAAAGAGACAACAATCTGAAGATCAATTATTTTGGGGTATATTTGACTGATTTTGTATGTTTAGAGATTACTTTGTTTAATTTGGACTTACTCTTTATTACAAACTGCAAGTATAGTTTTAAAATAATAGTAATTATATATTAAACTACTTTTATTATTACTTGATAAGATTACATTAGAAATCATAATAGTATATTCAACTGTAGAGCATCTTGATTGCTGCTCTCCTCCTCTCTGGAGCCAGAGTGGGCGGAGTCTCACATATTACAAATTCACATCTGCAGCATCGGCCCTCACCTCTCCTCATTTCTGCCACTGACCCAAGAAGAAGCTACCTTCAAAAACCACTAGAACATGGTAAGACTTATTTTTTAAGACGACTGATTTGCAAACTGACTGTCCGAACATGCTTTCATTTCTCGTTTCTTTTTCTCTAGACATCCTACACTGACAAAGGTGAAAAGGTAGGTCATTATTTTTAATAACTTGCCCCCTTCCTTCTCCTAATATACTAATATTTCACTGCCATCTGCGTTCTGAACTTGTCTGTTTGTGCTTCTCATTATACTTGTAGGTAACATCATTACACTACTCAAACTAGTCTCTAGATATCCTATAAGTCTCTTCATTGAAATAGAAAATATCCAACAATTAAGCAGATCATGGTCATTGCTGTAATTGTTTTTATGTCAACAGCACGAGCAGGGCAAGTTTGTCTGCTTTGATCATCTCACTTTCTGGGTTGGAAATGCCAAACAGGTAATTCTTTAACAATATATGTTTATAGATTTTGTGTGTTTGTGAATATTAGAGGAGGTGTCCTGTAGGGAGATGCTATTGGCTCTTTTCAGGGGTGGGAGAAATAAGCATGCAGCTGCAGAAACCACCATCCTCCACTCACTAATGTGTTCCATATTGAGACATTTTGGGCAATTCTTAGATCTCGCCAGTAGATGGTGCCATTATCATACTATAGCCTAAATGTAGAAAAAGTTAAATATGTCTAAAGTTTCACTTTGAAGTATCAGTCTTTTCTAAATGTAAAATATATAGATACATATAAAGAATTTTCTCAAATCTCCCCATCTTGTCAATCTCTTTGCTT